CTGCAGTTCAACCTAACGTGTTGTGATGAGGAGCTCAGAGTTTTTAGTTTTCCGGCAGAATCTGATCTAAAGAAATGAATTTTTAAATGTAGAACAAAGTGATTTCGCTGAAACATTTAAGTTTAGTTTTTGTTGTCTTTGCGACTTGCTGGCAGGTTTTGGGCTTCAGGGTCTTCAGCAGTTTCTCACCGACCAGAGCCGTCTGTTGTCTGGTGGCGTTTTAGAAGATCTATGAACCAACGTGAAGCTGTAGAAAACCAAAACAATGAGCACAAAGATTCTTCAGAATCTTCAACGAGCTTGAAGGAGATGCAGGGTTGAACAATAACTATCTGTGGCTTTAAACACTGTTTTCTTACACTGATCTGTTGTTCATATAAATTAATGTGACAGTTGACCAGAGTGCTGCTCATGTTGAGACAGAACAACAACAACAACCAAACAAATGGATTTAAACTTGTAAAATCAAATAGTAACTCAACACAAAACACTTTATAAGATATTTTAAGAACTAAGGGGAACCAAAGCTGTTGACAGCAAATACAACCTGAGGTTTTCCTTAGAAGTGTCAACAGACGAAGACTTAATTAAACTTCACCAGAAATCCTCCATCAGTTAATTAAAGCTGCTTCACATTTAGTTATTAGAGATCAGTAATCCATGTACTCAGTGAATAATAAACGTGTAGCTGCTCTCTGGTGGACAAACTGNGTGTTCACAGGCTTCTGCTGCCCCCTGCTGGCCGCAACAGGAACTGCTGACACCTGGACACTGACCCTGTTCAGGTAAATCTGTATTATTTAATGTCATACTGCAGGTCTTAACCTCGATAATTAAAGTGCTTCAGTAAGTTTAAATGAGTCTGATAATTTATTTAATAAATGGTTCTGTAGGATCTTAATCCTGGTGTTTAATTGTACATTTACATCTGATGTGACGTTGTAGGATCTTAATATTTAAATGAGGTGAAACTAGATCATGATTATAATGTTACAGGGTCTTAACCTTAATGTTTGTATTGAATCTAATATTGTAGAGCGTTGGCCCCAATATTTAAGTTGTTAATAATATTTAAATTAATCAGATAAATTATATAAGAAATAATAAATAAAAGTAATAAGTGTCTTAATCTTATTCCAATTAGTCGGGTAGCATTTTGTATATTATTACTGGATGTTAACTTCATTTAAATATTTTTAAATAATGAATATTTCAGATGTTTTTATTCAGTCGACCAACGAGCTGAACGTGTTTTCAGCTGAATAAATAAAACACGACAAGATAAAAGCTCATCAGTTTATTTATGAGACCATTTACGACGTCGTATGAGACATTAAAAAACAGATAAAACAGGAAAACAAACACTAAAATATTGGGAACATTAAGAGCAACCAAACAACAACTAACATGTTTTTCCTTTAAGTGGAAGAGGAGGTTTCTTTGTTTTTGTCTGTTCCAGAAACAATAAATAATATTTTTGGGCTTTAACGTTTAAATCAGTCGGGTGAATAAATATAATTAATCTTGTTTCTCTGTTGGACATCACTTTGGTTCTGTTTGTAAATGAAGCTGATGTGACTTCTGAGACAGAAACTTGTGAACCTGTTGTACGTCTAAAGATTCGTAGTTTAAAACAACCTGCAGCTTTCGGAGAAGAGTCACTCTGAACGTTTCCACTGAAGACGATCCTGAGCTTCAGTTCAGCCTGTGGACTCTGGGAGGCGCTGCAGCGTCTGATTCAGGGTTTGAACTGCAGGTTGGAGTCGCCTGTATCCAGGACGGAGAAGTAACTGAGTACATTTACTCTCACTGTGTACTTCAGTACATTCACTGGAGTCATTCTGCAGTTAAAGTTGCTTTGTGGATATAAAACTAATAAATGAAATAATGCACGGCTGGTAGAAGATGTGTAATAATATCTATTAATCTAAAACATGACAATCTGTGTTCATATTTATGTAGTTTTAATTAAGCACATTTATAAATACGTGACTTTTACATGTACCTGGGTGTTTATGAAGTTTACGGTTATTTTAAATGTGCTTTTCATGCTGGATCTCTGGTTTTAATGACACGTAATTCAACACTTTTTTGTTATTTTACTAGATATTATCTGTAGTTTTATAAAAATAAAATAACAATTTAAAGATTTATTTGCCGTTTTTCCAGCTTTATTATACAAATGTGTCGTTTAAACAACAGCAACTGTCTGTAAAATAAGTTGTTGCTGATTTAAATGATGAATTATGAACTAGTATTTGTGAGAATGCAATTTTACAACGTGAACATTATTTACAATTTTGTTGTTTGTTTTTTTTATGATTAATGTCAATTATTGTTTTTAACTGTACTTTTATAGTTTATTAACAAAACAAAGAAAATCTGTGAAAAAATATTTAACACTGTTAAATCTTTAAAATACAGATTTTTTCTTTTGAATAACAGCAAATATCAGTAAAAAAAACTATAATAAAATAAAAGTAAAGTAATAATTAAAAATAAGCAAAATTTTACGTAAAATGTGGTACAAGTTCTCAATGTGGATGTTATTTACATTTTTAGATTATTCTTGTAAAATTATTTTTGTTAATAGTTTTTTATTCAGATTTTTCTGGATATTATCTTTAATTTAACAAAACAGGGAAAATCTACAACATAAGAGTTGAATTTTTATTTTTATTTATTTTTGAACCAGTTGTCCTTCATATACATAATTTTTTTCTGCAATAATCACAAACATCTCAAAAACAATTTTACTTTGCTGTTTTAAATACAGTAAAGATTTTACAGTAAAACGATATAAAACGACAAATAGCATTTATAAAAATATTAACTTATGATGTGGACGGTACTTAAAGTTTGTTTTGTTTAGAATATTTGTTATTAACATGTAAATTTATAGTTTGTGGTGTCAATGGTGAGTTTACTGGATGTTTTCTGTAATTTAATAATATTTTAATAGTATAATAGCAAAAAAAAAAAAGAAAACGTTTGTTGATCTTAATAAACGTCATTTTTCTCTGGAATAAAACATATTTAAAACTGTTTCATTTGCTGATTTAAATGCAGTAAAAACAACAGATAGCGTTTATTTTTTGTTGTTCCTTCATGTTTTACAGTGTCTGAGTGAGACTGTGTCAGTGTGTCAGCCCGGCCGCCTCCAGAACCTCCAGAACCAGCAGGAGGTCCGGCTGGAGGCGACACGGAGCCAAGATGTGAAGTCATGGAGGTCAGTCAGTGCAGAGCCGATGGAGGAGTAAAACATCGTCCGTCCATCCGACGGGTTCTGAGCAGTGAAACCAGAACCGGTACAGAACCGGTGTCCGACATGTGTGCAGAGGATCTGACGTCATCTCAGGGCAGCGGTTGGAGTTTCCTGGTACCGGACGGTTTCCCAACAGCTCAACAAACATCCTTCAGACCTGATTCTGTTTCTTTATGTTGGTAAAAGTTCAAACTGACTGAAAAAACTAATTCTGCTGTTTGAACCGGGCCAGACTGTTTCCAGGTGCAGAACTGAGGAACCTCGAAGGACGAAGCTTCCAGGGTTTGAAGGAGGTTTGATGTTACTGAAAGGAATCTGGCTTGAAAAGTAAGAAAACATAAATACTTCTGGATCCACCAGGAACCAGCTCCTGTTTGACTTTTATTGTTTTGTTATATTTAGACTTTTTAATGGCAACAAACCAGAACATCGGTGGTTTCCTCTGCCAGCATCATGTGGACCTGACCGGCACGTTACTGTCCTGATTAGTCTCTGTGCATCTATAATCTATAATCCATCTATCCAGAGTATTAGTCTAAACCTAACTTGGGTGACACTGGTTTCCTTTTTNACTGTAGCTCCATGTAGCTCCATGTTCCTCCACTGTAGCTCCATGTAGCTCCATGTTCCTTCACTGTAGCTCCATGTTCCTTCACTGTAGCTCCATGTTCCTTCACTGTAGCTCCATGTAGCTCCATGTTCCTCTACTGTAGCTCAGTGTCCTGCCTCCTCTCATTCCTCCACCTCTTCCCCCACAGGCCTCGAGGAGGTGAGTAATAATGATGGCGACTGCAGGGCCTCCGAGCAGCTCCAGCTTCCTCCCGCTGCTGGAGTCTCTGGAGGATGTCGCCGCCGGACAGCCGGATCAGACGGACGCCTACCTCACCATCGCCAGGTGAGTCCTCCGCCGTCCTCCGGCTGCATCACGGTGACGTTTCGCCTCTCATGTGAGCGAGGAAATAAGGTTTCTGCTTCGTTTCCAGCCGGCTCAGCGGAGAGGAGGGCCGGCAGTTTCTCCCTGCAGTTGAAAAGCACTTTTCTCGTCTGGGTAAAGCCATCCTGGTGAGTGTTTTTACGACATTAAAAAGCTGCAGGAGCGTCTGAATCTTCCATATCTGATGTTTTGTCTGTTTGGCGTTGCCTCCAGGGTCACATGGCCAGTCCGAATGCAGAGCTGAGCCAAGCTGCCTTACAAGCTTTGGGGTTCTGTGTTTATCACTCGCATGTCGTCTCTGGAGTTCCCGGTGAGTTCAGTTTTATACTCAACACCTGGTCCGACCTTAAACTCTGTGATCTGAGTGCGATTCTGTCCCGTCCGTCCTCCAGAAGTCCTAGCAGCAGAGATCCTGTCAACGCTTTGCTCTCTGGTGGTGAAGTCGACCGATAAGAACACATGCACCAGAGCGCTATGGGTCGTCTCCAAACAGAGCTTTCCTGCAGACGTCGTCGCCAAAAAAGTGAGCAGAGGTTTAGATTCAGACTGAAACCTGAACAGCGGCGTTGGTTTGAGAAGTCGGAGTCATCACGTATTGATCTTTCACTCAGGTTTCGTTGATTCTGTCGACTCTGGAGAGCGTCTGGAGCAGAGAGGACGTCCAGTCCGTGGTGATGGAGCACGAAGCCTTGAACGTTATCATCCGGTAAAAACTGTTCACTTCATCTTTAATTT